TCTTACTGCTGTAATAACGGCCGCCTCGAGCAACTTCCTCAATCGGAGGTAGATGCAAAATCACGCTTACATAGTGTTACCGTCTTTATATGCATACTTAAACGCATCCTTCATTTAGCCATCTGAAAAGTATGTTCGTCTAAGATAAACATAGGGCCAAGGCAGAACAAACCCCGTGGGGGTTTCTATATATTCCGGGTGCAGCGTCATCCATTGGGTCCCTTTTCTGCAAAACCTTTGTTTGTAATGAAATGAATACGAATTATGAATTCCAATAAGATTTTATCATCTGTTAATAAATACGACTTTTATAAGTAACTCTACTCCAGCGCCACCAGCGTGTTTTCTAGTAGCCTATAATAGGACCTCCGAGAATTTGACTGGGCTCTATTGATTGGTTTTTGAGTTTAGTCCGAAAAACGGAAATGGCTATCATTTTTTTATGTATGTAATCTTCATTATCCTGAGTGTCGCCCGAAAAAAAATTCACGAGAAAATTTTGATTCCCCTCATAGTAAGTATATGGAAACAAAAAGCGAAAAGTGAACCGGTTCAGGGAAGATGAAACCATCATGCTGGTAGCTTACATTTTAAGTTTAAAACCGAGTTTTCTGGTAGCCTATAATAGGACCATATATGCATGGTATAACCTCTGAAAATGTGACTGAAATCTATGCAGTAGTTTTTGAGTTAACTCCAAGGCAGGTTTGTTTTGAAGCATGATTTGCTCACTAAGTCTAGGTTCAGACAGAGAAACTTTTGTCGCGGCAACTCTCTACTTGTAGCAGAGGGAGTTACGAGAAAGGGGGAAGGGCACCGAGTTGCTCGTGCTCGGGCAACACGCTTTGTGCTCTCGTTCGTCTGAGTAATTCTAGTTGGCCGTTCACAGCTGACAACAACAACTGTGTACAAAAGAATTGCTCTGTGTGAACGCGAAGGGCAACACCAAAAGAGAAATTGCCGAAACTGAGCAACAAAAGTTTCTCTGTGTGAACCCAGTCTAAACAACACACATAAAACCGCTTTCTCGCTTTATTTTCTTAGTTTTCTTTACATTCGGCTAACTTATAGAAATCTTTTCAAGCAAATTTTCGCTCTTATTGCCACACCTGGTATAATTTCACCAAACTCACTAGTAACCACAGTATACAGTAAACCAGCCATTGAAGTATGCTTATTTGAAAATTAATACAAGAAATATTGTGCAGAGGATGTTTTTGTCATTAACCCTTAGGTAACGACTGGTGCAAAAGTACCCTCAAATGATGATATATTTGAAATGTAAATTTGATCAGCGAAATTCGGAAAAAAATAATAATAAAACAAAAATATTGTTAATTACTACATGGGAGGTGGGCGTGGTTATGGACAGATTTCTCCAAAATTCAATACTAACCTAAATTATACCAAAGGTAACTTCGGCACCGACTTTCGTCAAAATATCTAAATTTTGTTCGAGTTACAAACAGACACAACTGAACCAATTCATCTCGTCATTTTGAATATTTTGATATATATGTATGTATATACATGTATATATATTAGACTGCATCACCAAAAAAAGTTGCAGTTTTTCCGCCGGGATTTGTTATATTTTAAGAAGTCCACCAAAATATTTCGGAAAAATATTAAGATTTTAGTGAGCTGGACCGATTTGAAAACAGCTCCAAAAATTTAGTTTTTTATGAATAAAAATGGTTTCTTAAAGAACTTTTTGAAAAAATGCCCCTCAGATGACATGAAAAAGTCCCCTCAGCTTAAAAAATCTCCATAAAAATATTTAACGTAAGAACGAGATTTTTGATGCTGTTTTTTTACTTTTTTCAAAGATTGATTTACGAAAACCTTGAATAACTGGGCCAAAACTATTCTGATTTACACTTAAGGGATCTCAGTGGAAACATATTTTCACACTGTTTTTATTTCTGTCCAAAAAAAAGTCATTTGTATCCCAATTTTTTATTTTTCACATACCAACACATCTTAATTCAACTTTGAATAACGTTCGTTCATCCTACCTTTCTCTGTCATCCTTTGAATGAGTTTATTAGCAAAGAAATAAAAACGATGAAAAAAAAACCTTTCCAATGACACCTCTTAAGTCTAAATCAGAAGAGTTTAGGCTGTGTTATTAAAGTTTTTCTTATACCAATCTTTGAAAAAAGTTAAAAAACAGCATCAAAAATCTCATTATTACGATTCCGTTAAAACTTTTTTTAAATTTTTTTTGAGATATTTTTATGCAATTTTTTTAAGCTAAAACTGTTTTGACATTTGAGGGCATTTAAAAAAAAAAAAATTTTAAGAAACTATTTTTATTCAATTAAAATTCCATTTTTAGAGGTATTTTCAAATCGGTCCAGCTCACTTAAATCTTAATATTTTTCCGAAATATTTTGGTGGACGTCTTAAAATATAATAAATTTTATAATTCCAATGGAAAAATAGCACCGATTTTTTTTTGTATGGGGAGTGATGCAGTCTAATATATATACATACATTTTACACGGTTGACAAACGGGCTTGCTTATCTGCATAAGCCGTCTTTATTTGCAGTAACTCATGCATTATCCCCTTTCAAATATGAATAAGCGGCTGAACAAATACATAAAAATTTCGTGCATTTGTTCGAGCATCGAGATATAATTTTGTGTACATATTTCATGAAAGCTATGGAGGTATCCACTATAAGAGTGGTATATTTGAAAATTAGAGAGTTCTACCTTTAAACTAAATGATTCTCGTTTTACCCCCTAATGGATGGGACCATTTTCCAAAGTTAGCCCACCATTATTCACTCAAAGTTGTGTTCGGAACACGGTATGACTTATGTAGGAACTGCATCCGGTCATAATCGCTCACGCTTCACGCCTGATTTGCTTGGGATTTTGTTTTTCTCGTTCCCTTTTTTATGTGACATGAAAATATTTTTCACTATAAGAAAATATATTAAAATTGTGTACATTTCCATAAGTAACGTAACTCTTATTCTTACCGTTTTTTCTGGCAGGCTGTAGGTGTGTTTTTGGTAAGTGTATTGGGTTTTTGGTTCAGTGTGATAGTGTATTTTGATTAAATTGTAATAGAAATAAATGAAATTGTAATAGAAATGAAAGAAATTGTAAAAGATAAAAGCAAATGCCAAAAAAAGGTGATCCCAGCTGTAGGCATTTTTTGGCAGTCAGCTGATAGTGTTTTTACTTATGAAACTGTACGAAGAAAGATGTCAACCAATACATTCAAACAAATTGTCAAATAAGCATATTTATATTTTTTGATTTGTCTGTCTGGATTACTGTATACTGTGCTAGTGACATTAGAGATTCGACACTCCCTTACAAAAGGTTACACACACCCTCACCCAAACATAGTGCCCCGCTAAGGGAGCTGATCTTGTCAAGCGGGAGCTAGACAACTGTTTTCTTTTTTGAGCAAACCTTTTATTATTGAATCATGGTTTTGAAGCGCATTAACATCAAAAGAGACATATCGGCATTTTTCCAGATTACGATGAAAGGAACTTAACCATATCTTTTTTGTGAAGTAATAGTGGTCTAAAGTCAACTCATATTTGTCAACAATTCGCATTTGAAAATGTTTGGACGTTCGACCCTTTTGCATTTAGTGTGCGATATGATGTGTGGAAATTTTAAGTCCATAATATCATAATATTTTGACTTAATATATTTGTGGAGTTTGTGCGATATGTATGCACATACATGTACCTATGTATTTTGAGGTATTCTTTAAGTCAAATTGAATAAAAATCTGAAGACAAAGCAAACTCTTATCTTTACATTAAGTGAATTTGGCGAGGGTTAATTTTATAGCATGCAGAGTTCGTAAAAATATAACTTATTTGGGGTATTCACAACGTTGTCGTAAGTGTCGTATTGTTGTATGTCGTAAACTTTAAACGTATAAAAAGTATATTAAGGGGGTTCGCAAAGTAAAAAGTCATATTATGCATTTTCGCAGTGTTAAAAATAGTTGGTTGTGGTTTCACGTTCTCTAAACATTTATTTAAGCTTTTAAAGCTTACCACATACAACAATACAACACTTACGACACCGCTGTGAATCCCTCAATTGTATATTGTAAAAATAATTAAATACCGCATGCTTGATTTCAATCAAAACTGTATCTAAAAGCAGTTGGTTGGAAGGCAGTTCTTTATTTTGAAATTACTGGTAAGCATACACAATTTTTTAATAAGCCTACATACATATGTATAAGAAACATGGGGACTTTTCTTGAAACATTGAATGCTCAAGAGAGCCTGATCGCGGTTATTAAATTTATTTACTATTCTTGCTTTACCTGGTATGCATTATGGTATAACAATCATTTCAGAACTAAAGGTGCTACTACATAAATAGTGTTCAAGCATTTTTTTGCAATTCGTAATGCCAAATTTCCTTTAAAACATTGAAATGACAAAAAATGTGTGCCATTTGGAAACAAACTTAATTAGATTTATACCAACGTAATGCCCAACTTTGTCATTAAAATGACCAGTGGAAATTCGGCATTAGGAACCATTTGTGAAATCGCGGGAATACATATACATATGTACGATTTGTTTTTTTAATTTGGTTCGTGATGTCTGTATACGGGGACTACTTATATAAAACACGTGGGTAAACTTGTATAGGCACGAGAAATTACGACGTTCTTACATTTTAAACTTTTCCCAGCTTAAATACTTAACCACTGCTTTACAAGCCTTCAAATTCATGATCAATGAAGCGTCCTTCTTTGGCGAATAGGCCTTAGCCTTTTCAGTTTCTGCCACTTGCATCGATCTAAAGTTTTGGTGTTAAATAATTTTTAAACTTGTTCAAAATAAATTCAATGAAATTAATCAAAATAAAAAAGTTTATAGTAACTCGATTTTAAAATAAAAAGATCTATCGCACGCGAAGCAAAATTGTAAATGTAATATGTTAACCTTCTTTTCGCCTTACAATTTAAGCATTTTCCTTAACTTTCTAATAAGCTTACCTTAACTTAGTTTTCAAGGAGTTGATCTCGCGGTTCATTGCTTCTTGGCTCTCAATCATGTCTTCACACTCACGTTGGTATTTGCGTTTTTGAGTTTTTTCCTTCTGCAACTCTTCTTCGGTTTCGTCAAGATTTCGTTTAAGTAATTTCATACGGCTATTAAGCTAAGAAAGATAAAAGTAATGGTTCAGCTGTGTTTCATTTAGTATTCATAGGATTTACCTTGTCGATTTGCTCCTTGTATTGGTCAGCGTGGCGACGTTCATCTTCGATATTCATCGTAAGTTCCTTTACCTTTTTATCCATTTTGCGGTTAGCTTTCTGCTGCAACAACCGTTCTTTGCCTTCATTTTCTAACTGTTCTTCTAGATTAGATATCTTGGCTTCTAGAGTTGCAATTGTAGCCTTCACTTTAGTGCGCTGGGCCGTCTCAATCTCAGTTAGTTTGGCTTTGAGCTCTTTATTTTGTCGCTCAAGTAGTGCACGTGTATTTTCGTTCTTTTGCGAATTCGATTTTTCATTGGCTAATTCGGTCGAGAGTTGCTCTATGGATAATTGCGCCTTGCGACTACGGTCTAATAGCACTTCTGAATTCGATTGCTCCTCTTCCAGCTCTTCTTCTAATGTGGCGATTCTCGCTTCTAATCGTCGCTTCTCATCGATCATAAGAGAACCCTTACTGGCATTATTGGAAATTTCTTCTGCAAGTTCATCACGCTCTGTTTCTGCAGAACGGCGAGCTCTTTCGGAACTGGCTAAATCTTCGGTTAACTGCATCACTTCAGCTTCTAAGGCTTTCACCTTGCGTTCAGCTTCTTTGCTTGCAGCCTGTAATTCTTCTTTCGCAGCTTTAGCTTCTTCAGCATCACGCAAAGCGTCTTTAACCTGAGCTTGCAGTTTTTTCGCATGCTTCAAAGCGTCTTCTTTCACTTTGTTATGCATTTCCATGGTTGTTTCAATTTCTTTTAGATCCCCTTCGAGCTTCTTCTTCGCTGCCACAGCTGCAGTGCGTTGCTTGCGTTCCTCATCTAACTCAGCCTCCAGGTCCCTTAACTGCTTAACAAGACCACGGCGTTTTTCTTCCGCCTGCTCTTCTTTCGCTTGTAAATCACGTTCGAATTGCGACCGCAGCGCCTGCATGTTCACTTCCAGGCGCAGCTTGGCATCTTCCGTCAACTGCAAATCATCTTCGAGTTCCTCGTTTTGAGCCTTCAGTTCAGCCAGCTGCGACTCCAGTGCACGCTTTGCCTTTTCCAACTCGTGAACATTCTTATCGGCAGTGCCTTGTGTGTTGGCCAAATCATCAAGTTCGTTTTGCAACACTTTTCTTTTGTTCTCAAGGTCTTCAATTTTATCGTAAGCTTCATCTAATTCGCGTGTTAGTGAAAGCACCTTGGTCTCCTTTTCACGGGCTTCCCGCTCCGCAGTGTCGCGCTCTTGAGCTATCTGCTCAGATATGGCTTTCTCTTCAGCAAGAATTTTATCGAAATTCTTTTGCTTCTTTTCTAAATCAAGCACCTAAGGGTTAAAATTATTAAACAGACTCGTATAACAAAACTTTAGTAGTCGTAACAAACCTTTGTACGTTGTGCTTCCAACTCAATAGTCGTGTCCTCAAGTTCCGATTGTATCTTCTTCTTACTCTTATCTAAACGATCATTTTGCGCTGTTAACTCCTTTACTTGCCTTTCCAAAGCTTCTATCTCTTTATTCAAGCGCTTCTTGCCCTCCTCCAATTCTTTAGCAAGATCTGCATCTTCTTCTGCTTTCTTTTTAATATCTTGCATTTGTGCTGTTACTTCGGCCAATTTACGCTCATAGTTCCGTTTCGCCTCTTCATCTTCTTCAAGTTGCTCCTGCAAGGCCTCCTTTTCCGATTCAAGCTGTCTTAGTTTTGAGCTCAGTGATAACTTCTGGCGTGTCTCTTCCTCGAGTAATTGCTGCGCTTCTGTCAACTGGGATTCCATATTACTGGCAGATTTCACAGCAGCAGATGCTTTCAATTCAGCCTCTTCCAACTGATTGGTTATATTTTCTGTTTCCTGCTGCAGTTTTGTGCATTTCTCTTGAAGCTCTGAACGTGCACGTTCTATTTCAGCCAGTTTAACCTATAAAGTTTAAAAATTAACAGTGTCATTGTCTGCGCACAAAACAAAATGAAATTTAGTTCTGGCAGTGTTATTATGTTTTTGAATAGCTAAATTTAAGTATGGTTCAAGCCGAATTTTTTAATGATTTTCCAAGCGATTTAATCTCTAAAATAAATTTATCTTATTTGTGGATGTGTGTAAATTTGATTATTTGCAACTTTTATTATAACCACTTTGTGTGTATATTTTTATTCCCAAATAATAATAATATATTGGCGCTTACACAATATGTTAGTGTTTGGCCGAGCTTCTCCTCCGCTTTGTGACGTGCGCTTTGATGTTGTCACACAAAGAGGAGGGACCTACAGTTTTACGCCGACTCCGAACGGGGATTGTATTTTTATGCGAAGCCGTTTCTCATGGCAGAAATTCACTCGGAAGTGTGCCATTGCCGCCCGAGGGGCGAACGCTATTAGAAATAAAATTATAGTTTAAAAAACTAAAAACTCGCTACGTATCTTGAGAATGAAAATCGCTGCATCTTTTAGGCGCATCATTATTACATAGTTACATCCCAAGCTAATAAAAGCGAGGTAAAAACGTTTTTTTTTTCTTTTTTATGGTAGTCGGAACCTGGGCTTGAACGCAGACCCTGCGGAGTGGTAGTGCGCACTGCTTCACCACAGCGGCCCCCAAAATAAATAGCTTGAAAATATTATGGTATGGTATTTTTTTTTTTATAGACAACAGAAAGCGTGAACGGGAAATCGACTATCTCGTTCACTAACCGCAGAGAGTTGACTTTTCAACCAGCTACACTAAGTAAGTATATTATATCTTATTTTTTACTGCAAACAGTATCGGTCATATCTATAGCACGCCATTTCAAAGTGATATTGTGTGCCACTTATGTTTATTTATTTATTTTTAAGAATTTTCAATTAAAATACAGTTCCTTCTCTAATAAAACCCATATAAACCCAAGTTTAACAATTTGCAGAAAACTACAAAAAAGTGCAAGAAATTATCACCCAAATTTCAAACTTTTTTTCTCCGAAGTGTTAGAAATTTTTTGAATACACAGTTTTATAGCCCAATCAATTTTAGCCTGATAATGTGCAAGTTTCAAGTGGCTAAAAGTTACCGTTGATTTTTTAGAATTTTTTTCGCCAAAGGTGTTGGAGATTTCTTCCATATACAAATAAATTGAGTTTATTCATTATATGGAAGCCAATGCGACAAAAAAAAATTCCAAAAAATCAACGGTAATTCGTAGCCACTTGAAATTTGCACATTATCAGACTAAAATTGAAGGGGCTAAAAAACTGTACTCGAAAAAATTCTAAAACTTCCGAGAAAAAAGTTTGAAATTTAGGAGAAAATTTGTTGCGCTTTTTTGTAGTTTTCTACCAATTATAAAACTTGGGTTTATATAAGGCTTGTCCGAGAATGAACTATATTTTAATTGAAAATTCTTAAAAACAAATAGATAATTAATAGTGGCAAACAATTTCACTTTGAAATGACGTGCTATAGATATGACCGATACTGTATGTATGTATGTATATACATACATCTATTAATTTTATATAAAAAGNTATATGGGGCTTGTCTGAGAATGAACTATATTTTAATTGAAAATTCTTAAAAACAAATAGATAATTAGTAGTGGCAAATAATTTCACTTTGAAATGACGTGCTATAGATATGACCGATACTGTTTGTATGTATGTGTGCTTAGAATACATTATCGTCATCATTACAAAAGGTTCTAAGTGACAATTTTGAAATTTCATAGAACTAAAAAATGCTTGCGATTGACCTAATTGAGGAGTTTTTTTTTTTTACTTTGCCAGTAAGTCTTATATTTGTTTTATATCGTCCTGAGTTTTGGTTTGGGGACACTAGACCGTTTCGTTATTTCAACTTTATTTTTAAATATACAGTTTGCCGGGCGGAAAAAATATGTATTTTGGTCTAAAAATAAGCTTTGCAAAATTTTATTCGAATATGATAACTCTAAGTACTTGCGCGTTGCATATGCAAATTTAGAAAACCATTGCATTCAGGAAAAAAAGTTTTTAACAAAATAGTTAAAAATCGTGAATTTTATAGTCGCTTACTATATAAAATAACTCACAGAATCTGAATATGAGGTGAAAAAATAAAAAAAAGTAGAATAGGTTTTAAGAATTTGCAAAGTCAATTTTTCAAAATTTCAATTTTTTCCAAAAATATCCGGTTCTGATTTACGCATCGCAGATTAAAGGTCTACGAAATCCCTATGAACTTCCCATATAATGTTTTACAATCAAATTATCAGTTCAAGAGTTATCTGCAAATTTATGGATGAAATCGGACACAATTTTAAGTCGCATCGATATTCTACTGTGAATTACACCCAAAAAGCTGCAAACTTTTTGTTCTTATTTTTATGCTATACTAGCTTTTACCCGCGGGTTTCACACCACGTCTTTATACAAATATGAAAAATAATTTATGTAAAGCAGTATTTTATTTCGGCTCTAATTTTACCATAGGAGAATACTGAAGGACAGTTGTATAGCTTGGGTGTTATGTAATGTAATGTAATAATCACTTTTTGGCACAGCAGGTGTTTTTATTTACATTAAAATATCTCCAATAAATAATATATCGTCGTTTAAAGTACAAACCCGCGTATCAACAAAATGCAAAACCGCGTATTAAGATAATTGAGGGATTCACACGCCCCCCTTTTACAGACTCGTTTATATATATACCTTACTAAAAGCACCTACCATAGATATGTCTGCATGCCAAATTTCAAGTTCATGTGACTTACAGTTCCGAAGTTATAGCTGATTAAATAGTTCACGCCTATGGGTATGGCATTANAATTTCAAGTTCATGTGACTTACGGTTCCGAAGTTATAGCTGATTAAATAGTTCACGCCTATGGGTATGGCATTAATGAAATTAATTTCATTTATCTCGACACCAAGTTCCAGTACTCTACCACAAATATTTTAAGAGATATACAACATGAAATTTTAGTTAGTATGGGAGGTGCCACGCCCCTTTTCCAGTACTGCCGATTTTTCTCTATGCCTATAATCTTCCCGGGATAAAAACAAATAAGTGTGCAAAGTTTCGTGCGATTCCATGTCGCGGTTCAAAAGACATAAGGTAATTAACAAACAGACATTCACATTTATATATATAGATAGATTAAAGCTTATTTAATTTCAAAGTACATATATAGATCCAAATCTTTTGCAAATCGATTTGAAAATAGAAAAGTTATAGCAAATTTAGTAATTAATATTGAATTCAAGCAACGTATCGATACTGTACAGCACATTTGATCGTAAATTCAATTAAAATATCATTTCCATTGGCATGTTATGCACATCGCAATTAGAAAAACAGCTGACAAAAGTTTTGTTTTATTAAGCAATAGTTTGTAACAATTGTGACNATATAGATCCAAATCTTTTGCAAATCGATTTGAAAATAGAAAAGTTATAGCAAATTTAGTAATTAATATTGAATTCAAGCAACGTATCGATACTGTACAGCACATTAGATCGTAAATTCAATTAAAATATCATTTCCATTGGCATGTTATGCACACCGCAATTAGAAAAACAGCTGACAAAAGTTTTGTTTTATTAAGCAATAGTTTGTAACAATTGTGACGAATTATTATGCCTTGGCTGGTTGATAAAGTAAGATAATTTTTTTTTTTGTATAATACATATGGGGTATTCCATGACTAAGTGAGCCATATGGTCCAGTTACAAAGTTACTTATAAAACAGGTCCGTCTTGATTAATCATTAGTTAATACCCCAAATTACCACAAATAAAAAAAAAAGCGTGCAGTACTATTTAATTTCAATTTAGGCTAATTTAAAACTTCAGCAGTAAAAAACTTTACAACCACGAAAATATTGTTTGATACAGAAAGCTTTGCAAATTCAATTGTCTGTAAAAGTAAAATGTGTTTGAAGTGTTGACTAAATACCTCGTGTTTTCAGCTTTTAAAGAAAGTAAAACTCCGTTTAAAAAAGGTAAGCCTTTTAGTTATATTACAGTTTAAACTAAACAAGATTCTCCACGTCCAACCCGTGACAATTAGGTACNCCCCAAATTACCAAAATTAAAAAAAAAAATCTTGCAGTACTATTTAATTTCAATTTAGGCTAATTTAAAACTTGAGCAGTAAAAAACTTTACAACCACGAAAATATTGTTTGATACAGAAAGCTTTGCAAAATCAATTGTTTGTAAAAGTAAAATGTGTTTGAAGTGTTGACTAAATACCTCGTGTTTTCAGCTTTTAAAGAAAGTAAAACTCCGTTTAAAAAAGGTAAGCCTTTTAGTTATATTACAGTTTAAACTAAACAAGATTCTCCACGTCCAACCCGTGACAATTAGGTACAATTTTCGCTTTTCTTAGCTTTTGGATTTGGGATATGGCTGTAACTTTTTAACTAGTTTGTAATTCCGCTATAAATCCTTATTTAATCTGTTCTGTTCCATTCCACCGGATTGTCTTAAAATTATTAGAAGTTTTATCGTGTCCCCCCCGTGACAGTCACGGGTTGGACATTCATCATTGGTGATTAATGGTATATTCAAATGAAGAAATTGGTAAATTTTTATTCTCTCCAAAAGATTTACGAGAAGTTTTTAGTATTCGGCGTGGATGTTTTGTAGTTTTTGCGATTCTTAAAGATTTGCCAAAAACCATTTTAAAAATTCCGAGGTTAATTTTTCTTTCCAGAACGATGGCTAAAACGACATCTGCTGAGCGAATGCGAAAATTTAGACAAGAATTAAAGAGCAGACCCGAAGAGTTAAGAAGGCACCTTCAGAAAGAACGAATGCGTGACAAGAAAAGACGGGAATTGCGAAAAGAAAAAGAAACACGTTGTAAACGATTATTAAATGAAAGGCGATGCAAGGAAGCTCAGAAAAAAAGGAACTATAGAGCAAGAACAAAAACTCTTACACAAGCATTGGATGATGAACTTTCGCCACCGTCGCCATCATTAGGGTCATACAATTGTGCGCAGACGCTAGGCAAAGCAGTATGTAAAGTAAAACGAATCCTACCGTCTAGTCCAAGCAAGAAATTGGCCGTTATACGCAAACTAGTTTTGGAAAATTTAGGGAATGATGTTCATTTAGTTTCCCCAACGAACAAGAACAGTGATATGAAAAATGCCTTATCTGAAAAGGATAAAGAAAATGTCGTCAACTTTTATCTGCGTGATGATATCAGTCGCCAGTCACCGGGTGTTAAGGACGTTAAATCTATTAAAAATAAAGAAACGGGAGAAAAGACTTTATGCCAAAAGCGATATATGAATTTCACTGTAAGAGAAGCTTATTCTCTCTTCACTAGCGATAATCCTGAAATGAGTATACGAATTTCAAAATTTTATGAGCTTCGTCCCTCCTACGTCTTATTACCTAGCCAAATGCCCCTTAATGTCTGTGTACGCAAGTACCACGCCAATTTTAATTACTTAGTTGAAGGTATAGCCGCCAAATTACCAGGGTTCCCTAAAACAGGTGGCGATCTTCTAAACGAAATTTCATGTGACGTCAATAGCGAACAATGAATGCTTGGAAATTTGTGCTGAATGTGTCAGTGATCTGAAAACTCTATTGCCTGATAACGATACCTTGTACCAATCTTGTAGGTGGAAGCAGTGGTCTGATGTAGAAGGGAGACCCAATGTAATTACAATTGCGGGTACCATTGGAGAAGCTATGGAAAAATTGCAGCAGCAACTTCAACGATTTAAGACCCATGTATACGTAAAGAGAGTACAATATAATGCCTCTTTAGAAGCGAAGCGTAGTATACCAGCTGATGTAGCAATTTTGCAAATTGATTTTGCTGAGAAGTACACCATACTCTCGCAAGATGAAATTCAGTCTGCACATTGGAAACATAATCAACTTACCGTATTTACAGGATGTGCTTGTGCATCAGCTCAAAATGTAGTGAGAAATATTAATGTGATTGAACTATCAGAATCAGAAATCAGTGAGAATAAAGCAATGCTTGAAAGTAGGTGGCACTTTGCAATTGGCATTCCAAAAGTCCAATCACACCACTACTTCACAAGTGTCAACCAGGAATACCTAATACAACGCCTTACTTTTAAATCAAAACCAATAAAATGCAGAGCTTTCAAGACAAGCGTTGCTGATGTATATTCCGAGACAGATGAACCCTTGGCCTCTCTCATCAATAATGACTAAGCGCTTTTATTTGTATCATGTGGAAACCTCCGTTTCATAAAAGAAGTCGTACGAGTCCCACCCGTGACAAACGTTGTCCCGCCAGTGACATCATAAATTCAACTTTTTAAATGATAAAACACTATTTTTTGTTGTAAATTTGGTTACTGTATTTCTTCTCAGTCCTTTCTGTGTAATAAAATACCTTGTTTAAATAAAAATGTGAAATAAGTTCGCAGACTTTCTGATAAAAATTCAGATACTAAAATCCAGTGTCTTTTTTTTTTGTCCAGCCCGTGACAGATAATGACTCAGTAAAACCGTGACCCGAAATAAAATAAAATATACGTAATTTTTCACTTCCTACTTACTCATCAATAAGTGGACTACGTTTGTTTATATCAAAATATATTTCAGCTGCGTATTTTAAGAATATATTTAGAAAAAGAGTGAACATTTTGCTGTACAATTGTCCCACCCGTGACGGTGGAATACCCCAAATGTATTTATTTATTGAATCTTTCTTTCGAAACTAACAATAAGTTTTCAAATCTTACAAACTACCATTAAATTTAAAATTTCTGCGGCAATGCTTAGAAATTTTTTATTTTTTCATACATATATATTTATTACAGCTCTTGCGGCTGTCGGAATGGACAAGATTCCGAGCAGCAGGATCGCTAGATATCGTGCTGGGCAGGCGGTCTGAAAGGACGAGTTCCAGAGCCGCACTGCCTGGGCGGGTGGAAAGGACTAGTTTCCACGCCGCGCCTTCGCTTCTCTATATTTAAGTAATTACAATCCAGTAGGCTGTGTTTGGTCGGAAAGGACAAGTTTCCGAGCCGCACTGACACTGGTGTTGGGTAGTCGGTCTAAAAGGACGAGTTCCAGAGCCGAAATTGATATATTGCGGATATCGAAATTTATTATGTTGTGCATCATTTGATAATATCGGAGAAATCCTTTCTTTTTAGTCTTCTTGCATATCTCGGGCTAAGAAGATCTCTCGCTAGTCGAATTGGATGGTTCATTAACCGTGCTGAGTAACTGGTGCTTAGCCCTCTTATGTCCTCATGCACCGTAGATCTTTGTGGATATTCGTATTTTTTATGTACCACGGTACTCCGCATATGGCGCGTAAAATTTGCAGTCTCTTCCATACACAATTTTTTTTCGAAAGTACTTTACATGGAAAAAATGCAAAACACCTTCAACAAAAAAACTCTCAAAAATCAACGCGATTTTTGACTAACTCCGAACTTTCATTTTCTTTTAATTATTAATTAATTTAATGGGCTGAAAAACTGCATACTCAAAAAAATTCTAAAAAATCTGATTAAAAAGTTTAAAATTTTGTGAAAATTTGCTGAATTTTCGCTAGTTTTGCACAAAGTTAAAAAATTTAGTAGTCCACTTGCAAACAGCGTTATGTGATTTTATAATAGTAAGCCATAAATTAAAAAAAAAACGTCTGCAACAACAAGTAGCATCCATATTGTATATTTCTTTTTACATTAAAAAACAAAATCGCAGAGTAGTAGTTTTCGCAAATTTTTTATATAGAATTTAAATATAGCGTGTTTTGAAACAGTAAGTTTTATATAGCCAGCTTTTTTAAGCTTTTCGCGTTCTCTCTTCCATGAAGGTTGGTCTGCTTTATTTTTATTTAAGACGTCTTCCACTAGGCACTACCACGTTTCCTTGCAGTTTTCTAAGTTCATCAGAAGATGGAGACTTTTGAACTTGTATAAATACGTACAATAAATATTGTAGCGACTGTTGAAAGTGTATATGTATTTACTTACATACAGTAAGTATTATAGCGACTTTTGCTAGAGTAGCTAACATTTGATGCTATTTTTTTTCAGAATATATAAGGATTTTGCACTGTATTGTTAGTGGCCATGAAACTACTTTAAATACTGGTACGTTAACCACCAAAAGAGAAAAATCGAAAAAAATTACATAGCGCACTTTGCAAGTGGACTACTAAATTATATTTTTATGTTTTTTGTTGTAGAATGAACCATATTTTTATAAGAAATTAGCGGAAAAATATAATGAAAATTGTTGCATATATTGTAAAAAATTTGCTGTGCCAATACTTTGTTCCGGCAGTGTACATACATATATACTTTGGNTGAAAAATTTGCTGTGCCAATACTTTGTTCCGGCAGTGTACATACATATATACTTTGGAATTAAATAAGCTATTATATAGCATACAAATAGGAACAAAAAATTTGCAGCTTTTAGCTGTAATTCACAGTAGAATAACGATGCAACTTCACCCATAAATTTGCAGATATATAAGTCTTGAACTGATAATTTGATTGCAAAACATTGTATGGCAAGTTCATAGGGATTTCGAAGACCTTCAATCTGGTGGAGCTAATCAGAACCGGANTGCAGATATATAAGTCTTGAACTGATAATTTGATTGCAAAACATTGTATGTGGCAAGTTCATAGGGATTTCGAAGACCTTCAATCTGGTGGAGATAATCAGAACCGGATATTTTTGGAAAAATTGAAAATGCTGTTTTCTCAATTTAAAAAAAAAAACGACAATTTCGCAAATTCTTAAAACCTATTCTACTCTTTTATTTTTGACCCTATATTCAGTTTCTGTGGGTTTTTTTCATAGCTAATGACTATAAAAATCACGATTTTCAGCTATNAAAACGACAATTTCGCAAATTCTTAAAACCTATTCTACTCTTTTATTTTTTACCCTATATTCAGTTTCTGTGGGTTTTTTTCATAGCTAATGACTATAAAATTCACGATTTTCAGCTATTTTGTTAAAAACTTTTTTCTCTGAATGCATATGGTTTTCTAAATTTTCAAATGCAACGCGTAAGTACTTAGAGTTATCATATTCGAATAAAATTTTGCACAGCTTATTTTTGGATCAAAAGACAACTTTTTTCGCCTGGAAAAACAATTTTTTTTTTTAACGAACCGTCTAGGGGACACACATACCTGAAGCTCAGCAATTTGTGATTCTGCCTGTTTTCGTCGGCGATCATTCTCCTGTCTTGAGCTGTTGACGCTGCGCAATTCTGTGGCTAAGTCTGCGTTCTCCGCCTCCAAAGCACCCTTCGCTTTCTCCAGCACTGCTTTTGCTTTCCGCAAATTCTCCAGTTGATCATTGATAACATTTAATTCCTGAGAATGTTTGTGTCGCATTTCAGCTAACAGCGATTCATGATTCACCGCCTCATCCTCCAAAGACTTCTTTAGAGTTGCCAATTCTTGTTCGCGTTTTGAGCGCAGCTCTTGTTGGGCTGCATATGGCGTAGAAAAAATTGACATTTGATTCCAATTCAAAAAATATATATATATATAAAAATTACTAACAAATAAGTATAAGCACGTATGTATGTATGTACATATGATTACGAAATAAACAGAAAAGTTTTTAGACATGCTAGGAATTTGTTTGACGGAAATAATTAATGACCGAAATCTCTAAGATTTCTCGTACATAATAAATTTAATTCACTTACCGGCTGTTGTATCCAGAGAATCCAGAAGTTCGTTTTTCAGTGCCTCCAGTTCTTCACCCAAGTCTCGGCGTATCTTTTCTGCTTTCGCTCGTGCAGCTTTCTCCGCCTCCAAGTCTTCCTGGATTTCGGCCAGCTGAGACTCTAATTCACGCTGCGCTTTTTGAGCAGTGGCTTTTGCTGCGGATTCCTCATCGATACGCATTAGAGTTTGTGTTAGTTCCTCCTCACGTTTCGCTAATTGCGTTTGCATATCTTCCACTTGAATGCGGCGCTCATTCAACTGCTCCTTCAAATCTGCCACTTCTGTTTCAATCTTCCGCTTGGAACGATCCGATTCTTGTCGTTGTTGTTGGTCTTTATGCATCCGCTCTTCCAATTCAGCTATTGTAGCTTCATGTTTTGCCTTTAGTTTACTTAAGTGCTTTGCTTTCTCTTCCTCCTCGGCCAACGTTTGGGACAGGTCGTTGGCGCGCTCTTCCAGTATTTTCTTCTCTTTTATCAGCTTTTGGTTTTGATCATCAGTGACAGCCAGATCCTCCTCATATTTCTTAATTTTGCCATCTAATTGCACTTTTTCTAGCTGCAATTTCTGCCTTGCAGCTTCCTCCTCTTCCAGCTGTTCTTCAAGATCTTGAATATTCAACTCTAATTTCTTCTTCTCTGTTCCAAGCGCAAGCGATCGCTCCTCTTCCTCTTCAATGCGCGTTTCCAACTCTTGCATCATATCCTCCAACTCCAGCTTACGAGCCATTAAACGGGAACGCGACTCCTCAGCTTCGGCACATAGCTCAATTTCAGCTTGCAATTGCTCAGCCAATGTTGTCTTTTCCTCGAGTGCTTGTTGATACTTCCGTTCATATTCCTGCGTACTTTTCGCCAGGACATCCAGCTTTTCCCGCACCTGTTTAAGTTCGTCCTCCTTCTGTACAAGTTTCTCCTCCTGCTTTGTTACCTCCAGCAAAGGCTTTACTTTCGTGTACAAACGCCACCACTGCCAGTTACGTAGTTTCAAGTAAGCAGCACAATTTCGTTGAATTATTCGAATAGCATTTAATTGTTGCAGTCGTTTTTGATAATTACGGCGAGCTAGATAACCACGACAGAATGCTTGGAAGTTTACAATTAAATCCGTTATTTTATAATCGCGTTCTTCTTCAAGATGAGCCAACACACCCGCTCGGAAGAAGATCTTCGATTGGCCAACGCGGAAGAGATTCGTATCCAATTCCAAAGCCTGAATCATCTTCTCACATGCCTTCTTACCATCCATGAACCCTTTTGGTATAACATTCGGAGTAAGCAGTTCGTAGCGTTGACGGAATTCTTGGAAAGGAATGCGATTAGGAAATCCCTGGCGGCATATGCGAATACCTTCTAAGACGCCATTGCAACGTAACTGATCAAGCACCAAAGGCGCGTCTATTTTGCCAGCACGTTTCTCGTGGTTTGGAATAATGCAGCGTACGAAGTTCGGATTTGTATTGCGCAAAGTGTCCATTAGTTTAGCTAGTTGCTCCTTATACAAATGCGATACAGTTCGGAACATGCCCTTACGGGTACGAGCACCAAATTGAGTGTCGGTCAAAGCTTGCTGAGCCATACCCACAATTTCAGCATCCTTCCAGATATTAACAACGAATGGATCTTGCGAAGCTTGTAGCAGCGACACAATATTTTCGTTTAATGGATCCATATTTTTCATTAGCCATTTTGCTGCCGAGTAATCTACCTTACCGGCATAGTGAACAATGGCGAAATCCGCAACGCCACGAAAATCTGTTTTCAGGAATTTTGGGTGCATTGAGTGAGCCGAGACAAGTTTGTCCACAAACGTTTTATCTGTGGCCTTGGGAAACCAGCATTCTTCGTCCAGTAACGCCATTATACCACCAGGTTTATCGATTAAATCAATAGTGGGCTGAAGGTCAAGACCAAAATCAATAAATTTCCATTCAATACCCTCTCGCTGATACTCTTCCTGTTCCAAAATAAACATGGTGTGATTGAACAGCTGCTGCAATTTTTCGTTGGTGTAATTTATGCAGAGTTGTTCGAATGAGTTCAGCTCAAATATCTCAAAACCAGCCATATCGAGGATGCCTATAAACGATGCACCTTGACGTTTTGTACGATCCAGCGACCTATTAATGCGGTTTACTAACCATTTAAACATCCGTTCATAGCATGCCTTGGCAATTGCTTCTACAGCGAACTCCACTTGCTCTTTTGTTTGGGCTTTTGTAACAAAATCACGCCCTACCTTAATTCGGGGCGTCAAAAAAGCTCTTGTCATATCTGTTACGCTTAAACCAAGCAAATGGGCAATCTTCTGAGCTACCGTATTGTCAGGTAAAGTTGCCTGATCATTGTTACGCTCCTGACGGAATTTCATGCAACCAAATAATAACACAGCACTGACTATACGGAATATGGAATTGAAGTCGTCACTGGTCATGCCCATGATATTCATCGATTTAACCGTGGCCTGAAACTCGGCAAAATCATCCACTCCGGGTACTGGCAGGCTGCCGTTGGAAAGGAATGGATATGATTTGATGTCATCGAGTATGAATTTTTCACGTTGCTCAGGTGAAGCGCCAGCAAGTAATTGGTAAAATATATGGAACGTCCGTTCATCTTTGGCTTGACGAATAGCTCGAGATTTCTCCAGTAGATATGTTTCAATATTCGCACCCGAAATGTAACCAGAAGCATCAAAATTTATTCGAATAAATTTACCCTGTTACCAATGGAAAAACAAAAGAGGTTTAGTATACAGTCGATGTTGCTCTAACAAATATAATTAAAGATATAAAAACAATTCTAAATTTCAATACACTGCCGAGCATAATTTTAGACGCATTTACTTTTCCAGTTTCCGTCCTATATATGTAAATTTAGGAGAAAATCTATATTGCCGGGTTAACGCGCTTTTACATTCATTAACTCAAAGGACCAAATCAATTTCTTAAAACCTTTGAATAGAAAACTGCAATCAAAAATTTTATTTTTTTACTTGTGCATAATAATTGTTTTTTGCCAATTCCTTAGTTTAATTCACAATGTAACTCGCATCGTAAGGGTCAGACACCCTAACAAAAAAAAATTTGCATTTCGCGCAGATAACATCGAAATAATTTGAGGATTTACGCAATTGGACAAAGTAGTAAGAAACTTTGTAAAATATTCAGTCAATTATTTACCGCAATTTACCGTGCTGAATCCACTCATTATCACTGCCTGGGTAGTGGCTGCTCCCAGATCAGTAGACTGATGGCATTATTATTAAAATCCCGCAAAAGGGTTAACTGAGGAATTAAGATAACTGGTGTGGTAACTGCGTTTTGCCTGCGGTGGCAAAGATAATTGCCTAGGTAATTTTGGAGCGCTTAGAGAACATCTAAATTTGACTATTGACTACTCCTAGGCGGCCTTCGGACTTCTTCTGCGCAGATGATAAAATACAGCGAGAATCATATATTTACTTATTTACATACATACACTGAGGGAAATAATGCACAGTAAAAATGAATACTTTATATTTGATTATGGTTTAAAAATGTTCGTATTTAAAAATAATATTTTCATACAAAAATGTATTACGCACGACTGTTCACATCTGAGTACCCAGCCAGCAAAGAAACGTAAATTTTGCCGACAGTGCAGTCTAGTACAATTTTCCGTATCCGAAACGAATAGAAAACGACCAAAGTTATCATTCATTTTCGTATCCGGAAAACGTTCGAAAAAGATGATGTTATTTGAAAGCAATAGTCGTATATTATTTGTTCAAGCTAAACATTTGAAAGCTTGCATGTATAGTCGGCAGTGGCCGAGGGTGCAGAGGAGCGTGCCGCTATTTGTTTGCTTCCACAAGTGTCGGTTTCGAATTCGGTCAGGCGCTTCCTAATTATATTTTATTTTTTGAACCATGAAAAAGAAGAAAAGAAGGAAAGCGTATTGAACGAAAAATTCAATCAGAGTTTCTATTTGATTTTAACATTTTTCGCCTCAGTGTAGGTACATATAAGTATGTTGCAAAAATTAAGACAACTACAGGCCTAGTCTGCGTAAATAAACTTCCTGGTAATTTTTAAACCCGTTTCGCATTCTGTGCACTGGTAAATTTTGTTATCATCTCATAAGCAGGTATGCAACACCAGAATTTATACAAAACAACATAGCTGAATTGCTAAATAGATTAAATTGTTAGCAAGGTGCTTGGAATTGGGGTTACAAGAAGTGATGTTATTATTTGGTAACAAAATTTTTCGGTGTCGAAATATTCGGTAACGAGCAGAATAGGCCTGCTAGGGTATTTATTTACACCTGCCTAGTTATATGAGGTTATTTGGTTAACATTGAGGTTGTTCACGCTTGCCTGGTTATCAGCTTATGTGGTTATATTTTTTATTCAGTTTACAATAATAAAATACACTGCACAATAATAATTTTTAACCAGATATCCTGATAACCAGGTCAGCGTGAACAACCTCTTTATTATTCTCTAGTGTAGTTTGTTTTTGTGAACTGAGTTAATAATATAACCCCACATAACCTAATAACCAGGCTCATTACACATATATTTTGTTTAAGCAAAAATTATTTTAAGGATAATTTTTAATGACACCACTAGGATAAGGAGCATGGAGCAGTGCACCGAATTCAGAGCTCATCTGCATCTGATGTTTGTCGATTTCGAAAAAGCTTTCTACTGCGTTTCTTAGAAAGTGTCATTGGACAGTCAGTCCTGCGCCGCACAGTGTGCTTTTTTAACACTCCATGTTAATTAATCGTAGCGCTTACGACAGAAGCAATATTTTGATATGAAACAAAATGATTTTGAAAGCTAATGTTATTCTCTTTCACGGAAAAATACTGGTATTGACCCACAATTACTCCTTACCTTAAAAAAAATTGGTCAAAAATTGTGTTTTTCAAAAAAAAAACATTCAAAATCCACCGGATTTGTTCCAAAAAAAAATTTTTTATGTTTTATTACACTAATATTATAAATTTTTAATATTTAAATTAAAGATCTTGAATAGCACTACAGAGAACTGGTTATTCGAGTGATATAAGGGGTGAGGATGCACAGCTGCATGCAAATAAAAAAAATGCAATCAAAAATGCATTTCTTAAATTGAGGTGTTAAATTTTTTTTCGATTTCCAAATAGTGGAATCGTGTTTCACGTCTCAAAATCTATAATATGAGCGTAATAAAACATATATTTTTTTTGGAGCAAATCCGGTGGGTTTTGCATGTTTTTTTTTTTTTGAGAACACTATTTTTGACCAATTTTTTAAGGTCAATGAGTAATTACGGGGTAATTGCCTTTTTTTCGTGAAAGGGAAAAATATTATCTTTCAAATTTTTTTCTTATCAAAATATTGCTTCTGTTGAACCGGCTACGATTAATTCGCATGGAGTGTTCAAAATGCACACTGTGCGCCGCGGACGAATGCCCAAACAAATCGGCGATGTTATTAAATCTAACCACAAAGGACGGAGCTACATACGTGTCGTGTACTTCACAAAGGAAAGCTGTCTGAGACCTTCGATGTTCAAATCGAGGTTCGACAATGTTGTATAATCTTGACTCCTGTCTTTCTTTTGGTGAATGGGGATGTGTTGATGCTGCCATGAAACCACTCCCCGACTGCGGACTTCGGTGGTCCAGTTCACAGCATTATATTGACTACGTTGAGGACATGTCTTTTGACACATCGTAATTCTGTTATGTCTAAAATGGGCAACGCGCTACACAAAAAAACTAAGGTCTTGAGACTGTGAGGAATTTCAGCGAAGTTGCCCTCGATGGAGGTACTGACGAAGGCATTGACCTCCGAATATGTAAAGCCAGAGCTACCTTTAGTATGACTTCAAAAAAGCAGAAGTTTATCAATTAGTCGGAATTTTTTTTATTAATTTTTTCTTGTATGTTACCGCATAACTTTGGATCTTGTTAAACGATTTCTATAATTTTTTAAACGAAAGGTGATACCTAAGAGTGGTCCCATACTAATTTGGTTTAGTTCCGATCTGTGGATCATGACGAAATTAACGGTAATCTTAAATTTTATGGGAATTAAAGTCGGTTTTGTTTTTTGCTTAAAAAGGACTTGTTTGCTATTTTATCGAAAGCGACTATTAAGTTTTTTGCATATCTTAATGTTTTTAAAGTAAAAATAGATAAAATTTAATCGTTCACCAGATGAGGTTCAGTGCCAAAATTTTATGAAGATTTTTGGCAAGTCTCTAAATCAATTGTTACATTTCTCTAGTTAAGGTTTTTACACCGTATTATTGAAAACAATTTAAATCATTAAATTCAGAGATTGGAAGGAAGAATTAACTACAAAAATTATAAGAAAAAGTGACAAAATCAAATTCATATCAGCAATTTGAAAGGATATAAACCAAAAAGTGAAATAATTTCCAAGGTGTGAATCCATTACGCTGCTGTTGAGAGAGAAAATTCTCATTAAGTTATATTAATTTTTAAAATAAACGTCCTTCACCGTTTTTTATCATTCTGATAGGGTTTTAAATCCTATAAACGCTTGAGAACGTAAAAGTTAAAAAAAACCCCGTCAGGTGAGCCACACTGGAGAAGTGATCATCCGATACCATCGTTGCTATATAGCAAAACAAAGCCAAACTAAACTAAACGAATAAAGTGATAACAGCATTACATACTAGTGCTTATAGTACAGCAAGGCTACAATCATATACCTTGTTTATACGATACCAAACACTGTTTCATTTAAACTCGTGTCAGTGTAGCACACTTAAAGCATAGTTAAGCAAATCGGTACGCATGACATGGGTTATATCTCCTTAACAGGTTTTCAGAAAATAATATTTGCAGCCGGTTTCACCAGCAGTTTAAATGGAAAATGATTTTATATTTTGCTTGGATAAATAAATAACAGACGATTTCTTTGATAATGATAAAATTTTCCTGAACACCCGTTCTAGGGACTTGAGTAGTTAACTTTCTCTACTAAACTATCTTTAGTTTATGTTTTCCACAGTTCGCACATCTCTACTAATTTTGTTTTAAATAAACAGCGTGTATTTTTCGATTTGACGTAAATAGGATACCTTTATTCACATCATTGGGCGCATTCATAAGTCGTAGTGTTGGGTAACCGTTGGCTATTTGTCTTAGAAACGCACAGTTGAGTAGTTCCGCTCAGCTCAACAGTTGGCAGCTTTCCGCCATTTTTTCCAGCGGAAAATTTTTACGCTACCTGCCTCAACGTGTTGGGCTTAGCCTAAACAGCTGATCGAAAAGACTTACGCTGCTTATATTAAATATAACGCCGCTTTGTTAGGTGGCAGTGTTTGACGTCGCAACATACAAAATTTACTGTTGATAGAGAGAGAAGCACGCATATCCGTCGCACGTACACGGTCATGATTCAATAATACATGGTTGTGTAATTTGTGACAGCTAAAGTTTGACACTCCTTTATCTAGATTCGTATTTTGGAAGTAGGACAAAGGGGAAGAATGTGATCGCAGTTTGCGAAAACGGTAGTAGAATGGTACTACAAAAGTACGCAAAGTATACAATTAGAATTAAAATGTGTATTATTAATTCTATGCGAATTCGCAATATATTTGGTGTTTTAATGGAAATACTAAACAATACATAAAAATATGCATTTTTGATTTAAGTTATTCGTCATTTCCGGGAACAAACCTAGAATACCGACCATTCAGCTATGCAAAAACGAAAAATGCAGATCAATAGAACTTTTTATGCTCATTTCAACCATGCCAAAATGATTTGGCGCAAGTAAAAAATGAAGAGGTTGTAGAAGGTTAAAGTTCAATTTTTAGATATTTTAAATATTAATATCTTATGAACTTTATAACCGATTAAAAAGCTAATGACGTCACCATAAAGGTAATTAATTTGTTCTTCAGCTGATGTACATAATTTATAGCCTTTTGTATTTTTAAACCAAAACCACTAAAAAACGAACAAATATTATTTTTTCATGAAATAACCTTTTTTGAAAAAACTGCATAATTAATGGTAAAGAATTTTATATTATTTAGAAAGTACAAGTTATTATCTTTAATTCGATATTACATATTTTATCATGATCTACTTTTGGGTTTCAACAATTTAGTGATAATAAAAAATACAAATAAACCTCTTATATCTTCTTTTTTTTACCTGCGCCAAATAAATTTGGTATCGTTGAAATCAGCGTAAAAAGTTCTATCAATCGGCATTTTTGGTTATTTTATAGCTAAACGGTCGCTATTCTACACTTGTTCTATAAAATTACGCAAAAGAAGGTGACGCCAACGAATATTTATTATGAAGAATTTTTGGTTTTACTACTAATATCACTACAAACTATAGAGTAAGCAACATTTTGCACAAGTAAAGGAGCCGATTTTATATGTGGGAGCGAGAAGACTGTTTTATTACAAAACTTTCTATTATTGAATCATGGTACACGGTGGTGAGTTTTCATTTACATGGCGCTTTCTTCACACTCACGTACGTTGACGTGTCAGAAAAATCTAGCCGTACAAATATTATACCTGGTTTTCTATCAGAATCTGCAATTAAATTTGAATTCTTGCAAAAACCCGATGTTTACACTTTACTAAATATGTCTCAATACAAGTTTTCGAAAACAAATTACAAAAAATTTTTGATTCTCACAAAACAAACCATCTCACTACCCTGCAAAAATCGTTGGACCATGTAGTCTATTTGTGGTATATTGGAACTTACAAAAGTGATCCTCTGTCATGCTGTAGCGGACCAACTTGTGTCTCTGCACCAGCTTATTGTTATAACCCGATATTGGTATACCCGATCACTGCTCGTGTTTTACCGAAATGTGATTGAAGTTGAGCGTTTGAAAGCACATTTGCATGTCTGGCTGTAGCTGAACGTGCAGAGATGTTCGCTGTTAGTTGTTAGCACCCAGCATGTTCGGGTTCGAATGCCGTCAGAGGCAACATGTAATTTTTAATTTTTGTTTTCGGTTTTTATTAATTTCGAAAAAGCATCTGAGAAGTGAAGAACAAAAGCGAAAAAATATAACAACAATGCCATTGCTAATATGTTGGGAGTAGTTTTGTGCTACTCTGATCAAATACAGAGATGGAGTAGGACATCGCAACGTTAATTGGACCATATTTTTTATATGAATTGTGGTTAACTTTGAAGTACTCCTTGGTCCTTAGGGAGTACACTTTGCACGCATGCATGGAGTCGTCGCGATTTTTGCAGGGTAATCGCGCCCTGTGATAGTTGATTCAAACTCAACATTTGAAAACACATTTCCATGTATACACATTTACATGTGTAGCTGATGTGCAAAGACGCTTGATACAATTTTTTCTAAATTCTAAGATATGTTTCCCTCAGTGTACATGAATTGCTGGAACGCGTAGCGATCTACAGTGAACCATACTTTAAATGGCAAGCGTTTATGCATATTGCAAGTGTGTCCAATGAATCACAATCACTTTTTTTCATTTTGAAAGCTAAGAAAACATTCATAAAAAACAGCTGTTCGAAAAATTTTTTAACGAAGATCGTTTTTATACGGACATTAAGAGGCTCTAACTCGCATTTCAAATGCGAGTTGCGGCGACAAGCTAAAATGTCTCGATGCGTGAGTTTGCGTTTATACGTCCGTATCGAACGTCCGTATAGCAACAAGAATTAACAAGGCGAACTTAGCACAGTGCGTAGGCAACTGGCTGAGTCAGTGGGATCGTCGGTGCGAATCCTACTGAAAGAAGTCTGATGAGGAAATGTGGTAGATTTCCGAAATAGCTATCACTTCTACCATTTTTTTCAAATTATTGTTGCTTTTCC